ATTATTATTATTATGAGGTTATATTATTATGCATAGGGCAATGTTTCTGTTGGAGATGTAGAGGAAAGAAGGGTTGGAAAGTCGGAAACATCTCAAATCAAAACAAAGTCGCCGTCTGTCCCTATGTATGCTTAAATCTTTATACACAACCGATTTTGAAGCGGCATTTTTAATAGATAGAGTGATTCAATAGGAAGGCTTATATATAAAATACATGTACGCTCGAATCATTGGATACATTTTTTAACACCCAGAACTATACAAACAACTATAATCATGGATACTAACATGGATAATCAATATAATAAACACACACTCCAATTTTATTTATATGTATAAATAACCAAATACGATTGCGAATAAATTTTTAATAATATTTTTACGTACAATTAGGAAAAATTATTGGATCTTACCACGCCTCGGTGATCTAGCGGTTAAGCATCGCTTTACGTCCGATGGTCGCGGATTCGATTCCTAGCACGGTGCATACGTGTGTATTCATGAATATGATTGTATTGATCTGGACGTTTTCTATGTATATAATGTATTATAAAATATATATCTATGTATTTATATCAGTTGTCTAGTATCCATAAGACAAGCTCTGCTTACCATGGGACTGGATGGTGCTGTGTTAATTGTCCAGGGTTATTTATTTATACACCGCTGTGTTTCAGTTGAGTCGCGAGTTCGATTCCTCGCACGGTACATACATGTATTCTTAAGCACAAATGTTTCTATAGATCTGAGTGTTTTTTATTAATCATCATTATCATTACATGTATAGATGTATAGATAGATAGATTACTTTATCTGTTATAATACTAATTTTCCATGAAAAGTATAGCGTGACTCGTCAAATTTGTAACAGAAAAAACTATGACAAACACGAGTGGCGACAACTGCTGTTATACTCTTTATAAATGTCTCAAAAATTATCTTTAGACACGGAAACATTATGTTATGCTTTATTTATCGGATTGTTTGTGGAACAGGTGAGGTTTATGACTATAATTTAATAATAACAATAATAATATTTCAGGTCAATTCACCTAATGAATATAACCCACAATACAAACTCACCTCAAATGGGATTACATTTGAGGTGAGTTTGAATTGTGAGTACATAGTGTACAGCCAGACAAACAATCATACTTATGTACAGCTTGTGACATATTTGACATTATTACCATATATCGCATGATTGCTTTCGCTTCAACATATCTGATGGCTAGGATTTTTTTATACCACGTATGTGGCAAACAAGCATACGGCCCATCTGATGGTAAACGGTTACCGTAGCCTATGGACGCCTGAAACATCAGGGGTGTCACATGCGCGTTGCCGACCCTTAAGAAACCTTAATATACCCTACGGCCCACGTAGTAGCAACCGACCTCCCTACAGCTTATGTTATGGGTACTAGACTACTGGTACTTTTTTTTTTAATATATACATAATATGCATAGGAAACATACAGACGGATAGAAACAAATGTCATGATTTGCTATACTGCCTTAATAATGGAATAAAATGTGGGTTGTTGCCGCTATCGTAAGAAAGTTGATAGAGGGCGCCACTGAGTTATGCTGTGGAGATAGCAGCGCCATATTCTCCAGACTACCTTTCTAGAATGAATACCTGAACCTGCGGCTAGTCTATGGCATGGCATGTCACATTGGTGGTGGGGCAATAGCGACTACTGGGGAGAGGATACATTTGAGAGGACACTTAGGTCTTCATAGTCAAGTAGTGAACAAGTAAGTAGTACCATTTACAGTTATTATAATATAATCATAGTCTCGAATACAAATGTTTGTACCGTCCGAGGAATTGAACCCGCGACTATAGTCATGGTAAGAGATCATAGATGAAAAACAAATAAACAACTACCTACGTTATTGAAGAATTTAATAACTGAAAAAATAATATATTGTTTTATGATATATACAGTTATAATATATAACTAAAATAAACTTATGAATATTAATAGTGAGATGTAGTATGGCCTACTGGCCCGTGGCCATACGACCCCCTCACAATTTGTAAGTTTGTTTGTAAGTAAGTGTGCCTGCGAATATATATGTTATTCCGATGTACAAGCTATGTTACTGTAAATTTGATCAGAATCCATACAGTAGTTTTTGCATGAAAGAGTAACAATCCATCCTTACTCACAAACTTTCTCGTTTATAATATTAACTAGCTTTTGTCCGCGGCTTCGCTCGCGTTAATTTTTACCTTAAGGGTGGAATTTATCAAATTCATTTCTTAGGGGATGCCTACGTCATAGTAGCTTTATGCATGCAAAATCGCAGCCCGATTGGTTTAAAATTGACAAAGTTTCATACAAACTCTCATCCCTTATTTTATCCCCTTGGGGGTAGAATTAATCAGAATCCTTTCTTAGCGGATGCCTATGTCATAACATCTACCTGCATGCCAAATTTCAGCCCGATCCGTCCAGTGGTTTGGGCTGTGCGTTGATAGATCACTATGTCAGTCACTTTTGAGTTATATATATTTAGATAATAAGTTTAAAAATGTTCAGTCTCTTAAATAATTTATAGTAAGTGATAAACATAATGAATAACTTCTCATTCCGTTAAAGGCATTCACTTTACTATGGATCGTCTCTTTGAAATTGCGTTCTTTGATAAATATATCATTAACAAAGTTAATGATAAATCCAAGAATGTATAAGTGTAATTTAATAGTACTTGTAAGTAATATTATTTATGCTCAACTGGTTTATTAAATTGAAAATATCTTGTACACAAAATGATTACCTCCCGCCCTTTGAGATTAAGGTATTGATTAAATTACTTAAATAAAATAAAGTGTCGAATAAAGAGGTTAGTTTATCAAATTCAAATTCAAATTCAAACTCAAACTCAAACACAAACTCAAACTCAAACTCAAACTCAAACTCAAACTCAAACTCAAACTCAAACTCAAACTCAAACTCAAACTCAAACTCAAACTCAAACTCAAACTCAAACTCAAACTCAAACTCAAACTCAAACTCAAACTCAAACTCAAACTCAAACTCAAACTCAAACTCAAACTCAAACTCAAACTCAAACTCAAACTCAAACTCAAACTCAAACTCAAACTCAAACTCAAACTCAAACTCAAACTCAAACTCAAACTCAAACTCAAACTCAAACTCAAACTCAAACTCAAACTCAAACTCAAACTCAAACTCAAACTCAAACTCAAACTCAAACTCAAACTCAAACTCAAACTCAAACTCAAACTCAAACTCAAACTCAAACTCAAACTCAAACTCAAACTCAAACTCAAACTCAAACTCAAACTCAAACTCAAAATCAAATTTAAATTCAATGAATTTGAATTCTAATTCTAATTCAAATTTTAAAATCATTTATTCGTGTAGGACAATTTAGAAGGTCTTATGAAGGTCAAGTTGTTACATTATAATTTTATTTTATTTTTTTCCCTACCGTCCAGTTCGGTATATATATCCAATTGAGAAGAACTGGCAAAAAACTCAATTGAATTACCATTTTTCTAAATTTATTTAAGCGAATTTTATTGGTTTCTTAAAGTTAAAAAAGTTAGTTTCTGTCTGAACTGAATTAGATATATCTGAAATAGTCTCTATAGCATACTTGTCACGATGGGCTTACTGACCTGACCTCATATTCATCTTATCATCCTCCACTGGTGCCCCGCCAGCGTAAACCGTTAGCGCAGGCGGGTGCACCATTACATTATCATCGTAAAAAAAAAATATAGAAAGTCATCTACGAAATTGCTACACTGTTTAAACAGCGTCCAGGTACTGTTAATTTATTATAGTACACTTATTGTATACTAGCTGTACCCGCGACTTCGTCCGCGTGGAATTTCACTCGCGTTAATTTATCCCTTTAGAGGTGGAATTTATCAAAATCCTTTCTTAAGGGTTGCCTACGTCATAGTAGCTTTATCCATGCAAAGTCGCAGCCCGATCGGTTTAAAATTGATGAAAGTTTTATATATTGATAGATCACTATGTCAGTCACCTTTGAGTTACATACTATATTTAGATTTTGCACTCCTCAAACATTCCGTGGCGTCATTACTAAAATCAACGTACAATACATTCAAAATATTGTTTTTATTCAATTTAAAACAAATTAACCTCTGCAATATTCCTCCAGCGAGCACTACTTATAGCAAATAACGTATAGGTACTTCTAGTTTATGGTAAGTAAATACGGTAAACTCAAAGTTTGGGGTGTGTTGACAGTACAAGCTTCATATCGGGCACCCTGCGGGTTGTCATCACATCAAACTAAGCTTTGATACGACGGTATATCTCGTTTAATCGCCACCTGCCGAGCGGGTTAATTTAATTAAGTTGTTCGCTTGTGTTGAACACGTTAGTATCTTTGGGGGGATAGGGTACGCGAGCAATGTACCATGCCAGGTTGACCTTCACGCGGTTCCCCCTGGAAACTATCAAATTAAAATTAAAATTAAAATTAAAAAATCATTTATTCATGTATGATCTTTTAGCCGCTTATTAACGTCAAGTTTTCACATTATATTTTTTTTCCCTACCGTCCAGTTCTGTATATAGATCCAATTGAGAAGAACTGACAAGAAACTCATTTGAATTACTTTTTTTTTTAAAGCCAGTTTATTTACAATGTATTTTTATATAGGTTAGACACCTGTCTAACATTAAATGAAAATTCAGTGCATGAACAACTATTATGCTTTACAGCTTCATTCTTAGCGATTTATGTTAACAAATTGTAGCAACACCTCCAGCTGTTAGCCTTGCACGGTATTTAGAAAAAAAAAAAATAAATAAAAAAAAATATATATATTTGAGGGTACTTCTCCCCTCCTCTAGTCTACCTCTGGGCGAGCGCTGTGAACATTATTCATTCAACATTTCCGTGCTCAAGCCTTCGCACGTCTTAAATAAGTCTACAGTATATAATATTTAATTACATTATTTTTTAATAAACTACCGCGTCGCTATGGGAAGAAAAAGGAAGTTGAAGAAAACAGACGACGAGATTATGAAGAAAATTAAGAAGTTGGAAAAGAAACTTGTTCGTAGACGACGTGTTATGCGTCTCTCTTCAAGTTCAAATAACGCCGACAGCGTCTCACATATTAGTATGGATGAGACGGTTCCGGTATGTACCGAAACCGTCACAAGTCCAATCGTGCCTACAGCAACGCCCGCGTGTACTGACGCGCCAGGTCATATTGACCTTATTAAGTCACCTCTAGAGGACCAGCCTTCGCTGAATATGCATACGGCAATCGCTGCCGACCCTAACTCCGATATTGCTGCGCCGTCTGCCGTAGTTCCAAACACTGAAGATAATGAGCTAGATGAATCCATATTGGCACTACTGGGTGATACTCCACAAAACGACCCTGAGCTGGGGCCACCTGTACACAAAGACCTTGCCTTAAGATGGCAAGATGTTCTGTGTAAAGGTCTTAATGAAGAGACTAAGAAAAAGATGCTAAGTAATTATCATCTACCTAATAATCTGGAAAACCTTATACCGCCATCGTTGAATGCCGAAGTAAAAGCTGCTTTACCGGAACTAATGGTGAAACGAGATTACTCTTTGTTACAACGGCAGAAGCAAATTAGTATTGCCATATCGGCGCTTAGTAAATCTATGGATATACTAATAACAGACAAAACAATAATGGTACCACAAACCGTATTGAGACCATTCAGTGACGCCTGTCGTTTGTTATGTGACACATTTTATAACGAAACGCGCACCCGTCGCTCATTAATCATAAACTCAATAAATATTCAAATGAAAAATTCTATTATTGATACTACCCCCACTAAACTATTGTTTGGAGATAACTTAACGGAAAGATTGAAGACTGCTCAGAATATAAAAAGATCAGGTGATATCTTGAAACCAATTCAAAGACCATTTAATAAAAGCAATTTTATTAAAAATGGACCAGGTGGATATATAAACAAGAATTTAAACCAGAGGGGCCCGTATCGGAAGTTTGTTCCAGCCGATACGGGCAGGCCTCGGCCACAAACTCGGACAGCCTCAGCCACGGCGACACCGGCATCGAGCAGTTACCGCGGTCGCTCCGAACGCCGCAGCTCGCCCAACACGCGCACCAGTCTCCGAGCTCGCCAACGTCGTTGAATACACAGGTAACTTACGCAGGACGCCTGACTCATTACTCTCAACAATGGGAGTCTATCACTGACGATCCACTAATACTGTCTTGGTTATCTGGATATAAAATTCCTTTTACCTGTACTCCTGTAAGCAACGGAGCTTCAGTAGTTTTTTTTCACTCGCCTAAGGACGAACACCATTTAAAAATATGTATTAATAAACTACTAAACATTGGAGCTATCTCAGAATGTAAATATGAGAATGGAGAATTTATTTCTAGTATATTCGTAGTACCTAAATTGAATGGAGATAAAAGATTTATTCTAAATTTAAAGTGCCTTAATAAGTTCATAAAAACTGACCACTTTAAATTAGAGGATTACCGCACGGCGTCAAAATTATTATATCCAAATTATTTTATGGCGTCTATAGATTTAAAAAATGCATATTTTTTGTTACCTATGCACAAAGATGATAAAAAATTTTTAAAATTCAAATTTGACGGTATTCTTTACAAATTTAATTGCCTACCGTTTGGTTTATCGACTGCACCTTTTGTTTTCACAAAATTATTAAAACCAGTAATGGAATACATCAGATTACATAATATAATGACAGTAATATATTTAGATGACATATTGTGTTTCGGGTCTACATATACAGAATGTGAACGTAATATATTATTCATAAAAAATGTTTTGCAAAACTTGGGGTTTTTAATTAATTATGATAAAAGTTGTTTAGTACCCTCAACTGAATGTAAATTTTTGGGTTTCATATTTGACTCTGTAAACATGAAATTAAAACTACCGGAGGATAAAAGACAAAAGATTTACATTCTACTTAATAAATTTATAAAGATTAAGCAGTGTAAACTACGAGAGTTTGCTAAATTAATTGGTGTTTTGATATCGGCCTGCCCGGCTATAGACTATTCATGGTTATACACAAAACAATTAGAACGCTTTAAATTTTTATGTTTACTAAATGACTCATCTTATGAACAGACGGTTATAATACCGGAAAAATTACATGGAGATATTTATTGGTGGATTAATCATATACATAACAATTGTGCTAATTTTAGGACCCATATTTATAAATTAGAGATTTTTTCAGACGCCTCTCGTAGTGGATGGGGGGCATATTGTAATGATAATAAAGCATCAGGTTATTGGAAGGACGAAGAAATGATTTTACACATTAATTTATTGGAACTAAAAGCTGTTTTTTTCGCATTACAGATTTTTGCAAAATCTCTTACTAATGTCGAAATCCTTCTTCGTATTGACAATACCACTGCAATAGCTTGTATTAATAAAATGGGAAGCATACAATACCCACATTTACAGAATATTACACGTCAATTATGGCAATGGTGTGAAAAACGAAAATTATTTGTATTTGCATCATATATAAATACTAAGGATAACATAGAAGCCGATATGTTATCAAGAAAGACATTTCAAGATACAGAATGGCAACTAGCAGATTATGCCTTTCAAGAAATAATTGAGAATTTCGGTGTACCCAATATAGATTTATTTGCAAGTAGGAGTAATACAAAATGTCCACTCTTTGTATCCTGGAAACCAGAACCGGGTGCATTTGCAGTAGACGCCTTTACCGTTTCATGGTCTAAATTAGATTTTTACGCTTTTCCACCATTTTGTTTGATACTAAAGTTATTGCAAAAAATTATTCAAGATAAGGCCGAGGGTATAGTAGTAGTCCCCGATTGGCCGACTCAACCCTGGTATCCGTTAATCCATAAAATAAGAGCTTCGGAAATAATTAAATTTTTACCAGATAAATATTTACTGAAATCTCCTTTCAGGGTGTACCACAAACTACACAAGACGCTAGCTCTAGTTGCCGTGAAATTATCCGCCAAACATTACTAAACAGGCACCTTTCAGCAAGATCTGTCGATATTATGCTGGCTTCTCTGGCGGATAATACATACAAACAGTATGATGGCTGTATTAAAACCTGGATTAATTATTGTGAAAGGAATCACTGCGATTTTACTTCCTTATATATACCTGCAGTTATAGACTACCTGAGCGAGTTATATAATCAGGGAGCAAAATATGGCACTCTCAATGCACATAAGTCAGCTATATCGCTGTTAATGACTGGCAGCCTTGACGATGACCGACTGAAGAGATTTATGAAGGGAGTTTACAGGCTGCGACCACCTCAACCTAAGTATGATTTAGTTTGGGATCCAAATATAGTATTAAATTATCTTGCACAATTTTGGCCAAATAATGATTTAAGTTTAGAAATACTTTCAAAAAAGACTGTTATGTTATTAGCATTGGTATCGGCACATCGGGTTCAGACTCTATCTCTAATTAAGATTTCTAACATTATAAATAAAGATAAAGAGATTATTATTAAAGTACCAGATTTAATAAAAACATCAAGACACAACTCAAATCAACCCATTTTGAGAATTCCTTTCTTCACACCAAATCCACGAATTTGTCCAGCCGCTTGTCTATTAGCATACATAAATACTACAGTATCACTACGTACCAGTAGGCAGGATAATTTATTTGTTAGTTTTAAAAAACCGCACCATACGGTATCTAGCCAAACACTAAGCAAATGGCTGAAGGTAGTTTTAAGTGAAAGTGGTGTGGATACATCGATATTCAGTGGCCACAGCACTCGCCATGCGTCCACATCCTCGGCAAAGAGACTAGGTGTTAATATTGATGTTATAAGAAAGACTGCAGGTTGGAGTGAAACATCGCAAGTTTTTGCAAAATATTATAATAAAGAAATAATTAACAGTCAGAATTCATTTAGTCAATCGATTCTATCTAATAATATATAATCGTTGTCTTTAATTATTTGTAAACTATTAAAAAGTTTTTTGATTTTGTTTATTATTTTTTCTTATGTATTTTGAATGATGTATTAATATACTATTTTTGTTTTATGGGTATGTTAAATAATAAAATGGAATTAATTAAGGTGATAATGAAATTATACTTTTATTTTTACTCTAAACATCTACAATTTGTTAACATAAATCGCTAAGAATGAAGCTGTAAAGCATAATTAATGATCAAACGAACTTGCAAAGTGAAGTTCGATCATAATTATGCGAACAGCTTCATTCGACGCGATTTAGGGGATCCCACCCTGCTTAAAATTTTTGTTTTTCATAATATTTATTTTATCTGAAATTTATAAATATAGTTCATTATATTTTAATAAAATCCTGATTAACTGACCCTCCCTAATATATATAAAAATAAAAGTTATTAAACTCTATTAAGCCAACTATATACATATTATTTTTTAAATACTAATATAATATTATATTACTGTCTATTTGAAACCTTGATAATCATTGCAAATTATTACATTATATATATTTTCTTTAAACCAATGAATAATGTTCACAGCGCTCGCCCAGAGGTAGACTAGAGGAGGGGAGAAGTACCCTCAAATATATATTTTTTTTTTTTTTTTATTTATTTTTTTTCTAAATACCGTGCAAGGCTAACAGCTGGAGGTGTTGCTACAATTTGTTAACATAAATCGCGTCGAATGAAGCTGTTCGCATAATTATGATCGAACTTCACTTTGCAAGTTCGTTTGATCATTAATTGCCATGCACACTCGTCATTCAAGTAATCGTTTAGTGAGTAATAGGCTTTGCTCAGTAAATATGATTTAACAGATGTTTTGAATTTATTTAAGGGTAATTCCAACATATCCTTTTTTTACATTATATTTTTTTCCCTACCGTTCAGTTCGGTGTATACATCCAATTAAGAAGAACTGACAAGAAACTCAATTGAATTACTTTTTTTAAGTCAGTTTATTTACTTTATATCGCGATAAATTTCTGGTGAATTTGACACGTGCTAACTGACCTGACCTCATGATCTTATCATCCTCCACTGGTGCCCCGCCAGCGTAATCCGTTAGTGCAGGTGAGTGCACTATTACATTATCCAGGGAAAATATGTTTTTGTTACGCACTATATCCCATCGTATAATAAAATGGCATAACATATAACATAATACTGAAGTTGTCTACCTCAAAAGGATGTCAAAACCAAAATATATAATTCGCGATTTCACTCACATGACATGTATAGTCATATATGTAAGCACTTTTGACTAGTCAAGTTTTTTTAGTTTTTATTCTACCGCTTATTCGGAATGCAGATTCATCACAAGAAGAATAAGCATGAAACTTGTGTGTTGCTCTTTTAAATAAATATTGATTTACTTATATTTAATTAAAAACAAGGATTAGGCATGCGACAATCAACATAGAAACCGCTACGCACTTAATCTCTGTTCAATGAGATAACATTGTCAGCGCTATGAATTTAAGTTAGATATTATCTACAAATACATTATTATCATTTATAAATTCTTCAATTTTATAATAAGCTTTTTTATATAAAACATATTTTATGACACATTTGATTTTTTTTTCTGGCAAATTGACTACAGACTCTGGGAGTTTATTGTAAAACCTTACGCAATTTCCATAAAACGAATTACTGAGTTCCGTCAAACGGCACTTAGGTAAAACTACTGTAAAGTTTCATCAAAATACATTCAGTAGTTTTTGTGTTAAAGCGTAACAAACTTCCATTATCCATTTCCACATATATAGTTCACAAAGTTTCGTATTTATAATATTACACCAGATCTGCTTAGTTTAGAACTGTATGCTGATGTGAAAATAGTTCTAGAATATTATTATTTTATTATAAGCTAGATCTACTCGCCCTGGCTTCGGCCGGGTGTATATGTACTATATATCAAGGATGTTATGGATATGAAATTTCGGATACGAGTAGGTTTTGGATATAGGATTGTTATTTCCTATATCGAAAGTAGTTAAAGAGAGCCATTCGCTTCACTTATAGTATGGGTACCAGGGAGTCTTTACAAGAGTGCTTTAAGGAATCAAATCCTCACCGTTGCTTCTCAATATATTTATGAAAATATCATGCATGCCAGGAAGAATATAGACAGTT